TATTGCATATATATATATATATATATATATATATATATATATATATATATATATATATATATATATATATATATATATTGGCTTGCAAGTCATCCAATCATAAACACACTATTCCTTGCAAGAAAAGTGTGATATATAGTTAATACTTTTTTTTTTTCCTTTTTTCCTAATCCTCTAAAGATAATTTCTACTCCAAGTTTTTTCCACACCTTTAGGCTTTGCTTATATTATTATAGTAAAAATTAGATTAATTAATGCATAATCATTTTCATATTATTAATATATATTATTATCTTAAAATTCATTTCTATATAAATAACAGATTATTACATCACAAGACCAGTCCTATAATAGAACAAAACATGGGAAAGTTCATATGTTTCTTGTCTTGTTTTCTCTCACCTCTGTTCGCGGCCTTACACGCCGCCGGAGTTTCCACGGCGGCGGCGGCGGCGCAGCCAGTGGTGCTCTCCACGGAGTCGCGGTGGATCGTGGACGAGTCGTCGGGGCGGCGCGTGAAGCTGGTGTGCGTGAACTGGCCGTCGCATCTGGATGCGGTGGTGGCTGAGGGGCTGAGCAAGCAGCCGGTGGATGAGATTTCTCAGGAGATTATAAACATGGGGTTCAACTGTGTCAGGCTGACGTGGCCGCTTTTCTTGTTCACTAATGACACGTTGGCTTCTCTCACTGTGAGGCAGTCTTTCACAAACCTAGGACTTTCCGAATCTGTCGCAGGTTTTCAGACAAACAACCCTTCCATCATTGATCTCTCTCTCATCGATGCTTACCAGGTATAACCAACTTTCTTCACTCATCAATATATATTATATATATTTAAATATATATATATATATATATATATATATATATATATATATATATATATATATATATATATATATATATATATATATATCTATGTATAAAGATTGATGAAAGAATCTCAAGAATGAGTATCCAACAAGTTGCTTGCACAAAGAAAAGAACACTTTTTTAGTTTTTTATTTTCTTTTTCTTTTTTTCGCCATATCTTTTTGATCACAAATTGTCTTTTTCGAATTTTATTGCACAAGCTTCAGTGGTGGAGCCAGCATAGGGGCAGAGGGGGTCATGGCCCCCGACAATTCTCGAATCCTTATTTTTATGTAAAGATTAAAAAAAATCGTATATAATTAACATTATTTGTCAATTGTCACTCTAATAAAAGTTTTAATGCATTATGTCCCAAGATCAACTTAAAGTCTTGGCTCCGCTAATACCAAGCTTTATAGTTATTTTGTGATTTTTCAAGAAGAATCGGAAATTAAAATTTTCGAACTTGGAATAGAAAAAAATATTCCAAAATTGGAATTTTAAAGAATTGTGATCGATGGTAATAAAAAAATTATATTTTTCTTATTGACATATACTATGCATATAGTATTAGTGGTATTAATTATAAGTAAGTTTTTCGGAATTTGTTTATGGAATTATTTTTGTAAATTAAAATCAGATTGGAAATCAAAATTTTGTTTACATTCTAATTTTGATCCCACAAAACATAAGAAAAATCGAAAATTGGAATCTTCGAATTCATAATTAAGACATAATTCGATTTTATCTGAATCGAAATTAACGGAATTCGGAAAATTTGATCTATTCCCATACACTACAACTACTTAATAATTAACATTGTTGTGGCATAAATAATTGTGGGGAACAAGTTGATTCAATATATCATTAGATTGAGTCAAAAGCATTTATATATATACACTACGATTCTTGATCTAGATAAATACATAAAATACACTTTCCAAATACATAAAATAAAATAACACTCAATATCTAGCACCCCACTTTGTTTTCTCTCTACTAAACTAAACAACTCTCAAAGGTATATTATTTTGTTGTCTTGGTAGATGCTCAAGACAACCAATATAAAAATAAATGAAACAAAATAAAAGTCAAAATTGAGGAGAATAAATTTCATAGCTTTGGTCATTACAATTTCGAAATTATCGAATGGGTCATATCGAAATCAGCACTTTTGGGAAAAAAGAAATTCTGAAAATGAAAAATTAATTCCGATTTCGTTACACAAACAAACCAGAAATCGGAAATTAAAAAATTGGAATTGAAAACTTGTTCCATGATCGAAATTTTGGGATACAAAATATGTATATGTATATTCAATGTAGCTAATTTGTAACCGATTGGATCACATATCGAAATCAGCACTTTTGCAAAAAAATCAATTTTTTTGGAAGTGAAAAAATAATTATGTTCGATTTTGTTCCAAAAACAAATACAAAAAATGACAAATTGGAGTTGAAAAACTTGTTCCACAATCAATTTTTTTGGGATACAAAATATGTGTGTGTGTATATATATATATATATATATATATATATATATATATATATATATATATATATATATATATATATATATATATATATATATATATATATATTGCTAAATTAGAGAGCATGTTTAATTAATTAACTAATTAATCAATTTAGGAAGTGGTGGCTAGTCTTGGAAGAAAAAAAGTGATGATAATACTTGACAACCACACAAGTAAGCCAGGTTGGTGCTGCAGTAATTCTGATGGGAATGGCTTTTTTGGAGATGAGTATTTTAACCCACAACTATGGTTAAAGGGCTTAACCAGGGTTGCCACCACTTTCAACAACACCAAAAATGTCGTCGCCATGAGCTTGAGGAACGAACTCCGTGGCCGCAGACAAAACGTCAACGATTGGTACAGGTAATCGTAATTATAACCTAATACGTATCTACAACCAAAAGAGACCTAATCGGGTCGCGAATATCTTATATCAACCAAATTTCACTGCGGCAACCAAACGAAACCTATTACAGGTCTCGTTTGGTTGGTATATAAGACATAACTAGTTAATAAATCGGCCTTTTTTTTTTCCTTCACATAAATGCAACAAACACATATATTCTCTACTTCAGGTACATGCAAAAAGGAGCCGAAGCGGTACATGCAGCGAACCCTAATCTTCTTGTAATTCTATCGGGATTAAAATTCGACAGAGATCTCTCGTTTCTTCTAAAAAGACCAGTGAGCTTGAGTTTCTCAAACAAGTTAGTATTCGAGCTGCACTGGTACGGTTTCTCTGACGGGCTGGCATGGCAGTCGGGCAACCCAAACCAAGTGTGTGGGCGGTTAGTGGGCGAGACAACCAAAAAAGCCGGTTTCCTACTTGACCAAGGCTACCCCTTGCTCCTGAGTGAGTTTGGGGTGGACATGAGGGGTAGTAATGTCAATGACAACAGGTTCTTGAATTGCTTCATGGGATGGGCAGCTGAACAAGATGTAGATTGGGCGTTGTGGGCTCTTACGGGGAGTTACTACATACGAGAAGGTGTCGTTGGACTTGACGAAACCTATGGAGTTTATAACTGGAATTGGGGCGAAATCCGAAACCAAACCACCTTGCAAAAGATATCTGCTCTACAATATCCGTTTCGAGGTAAAATACCAAGAGTCCGAAAATCGTATTTGCGTCATAAATACATGTATAAAGGTGGAAATCAAACGAGTGGGGTCAAAATGAGAACTTTTGGGGAAAAAAAATTATTTTTTTCCCGAAGTGAAAAACTAATTCCAGTTTCATTAAAAGAAAATATCGGAAACATGGTAATCAGATTTTCAAAAATTGGAATTACGGATATGATTCCGCATATGATATAAAATACATAATGACATTGATCTTAGAAGTGTAATTTTTTTTAAATAAATTGGAATTTTTGGAAATATTTTCGTAAATTAAAACCAGATAAAAAAAAATTGGGAATCGGGACTTTCTGAAAATGAAAAATATTGTTCCAGAACCTGAAATATTTGGATCGGAATTGGCAGAATCCGGAATTTCCCTTCCAATTTCCACCCATATACACGCACTAACCTAATCTTCCCTATATCGTTCCAATTTTATCGACATTTTACTATCAGAATAACTACTAACTCAAACATTCATGCATAAAAATTTGCAGGACCAGGTTATTCAGAAACACGAACACACAAAGTACTTTTCCATCCCGAAACAGGACTTTGTGTAAAGAGGATGTCATTACTCGAGCCCTTGGTTTTAGGACCATGCTCCGAGGCTGAAGCATGGAGCTATAGTACTCCACAAAAAACCTTAACAATAGTGGGCACATATTTCTGCCTTGAAGCAGATGAATTAGGGCAGCCTGCAAAACTAGGTATATTCTGCAGCGATGCCACTACGAAATGGGAAGCTATTTCCGAATCTAAGAATCATCTCTCTTCGAAACTTGGCGACGGTACCAAAGTTTGTTTGGACATAGATTCGGACAACAACATTGTCACAAACAACTGCAAATGCTTGAATAGGAACAGCAAGTGCGATCCAGGAAGCCAGTGGTTCAAAATTATCGACAGCACAAGATCTGCTACAACTGATAACAACTTACTCCACCGTGTGATCGGATCAATCGTGAAGCTTATTGCAAAGATTTTCCTAGGTAGTTTTAGCTTATAGGAAGACAAACACATGTTCTAGAAGCATTATACAGTTCAAAGCATACCGGTAATTATGCAAGATTCTAATTCGAAATAAAACACTGCCTGCACAGCAATTTATAGTTTTGACTAACGACCGAAACATTAGCAATTTTCGTAGATATGGATGCGACTCAATGCATGAAAACGTTATGTGCGCGATAAAAGAGTATCATAAATTAGCAAATCCATCATGCTCAAATGGCCAAAAAAGAAAAGGTAAATGTATTCGGAGTGAAGTATTACAATCTTAAACAAGCTGACAAATGGAGACAAGTTTAAACCAGATATATCTTCGAGCACTTATGCTAGACATAAGGAAAACAGTTCATCTGATGCATATAATGAATGAGGAAAGATCAAAAAGTATCGATACTTCCACCAGTTCACTCTTCCATCGCGTCGCCACCTTCGATCACTTCCACCAGTTCTTTCAGCGGTGTAATTTTAGTAAGCAACACCTCTGCAGACAAACGAAAGAATTAAATATGTATATATATATATATATATATCAAAGCAGGATTTAAGTTTGTGCAAAACAGAATAGCTAGTGAACGATGATACTAAATACTAACCAGTCTTCTTGGAGAAAGTGTAACCCTTTGCACTGACATAGGTACGAGGGTTTGGCGACATGTAGTTTCTCAAGTACTCTTGCTTCCCCTGAAATAAAACATTAGGTTTCCAATTTGTTACAATATAAGTACGAGAGAAAAAATAGGTGGAATTTATCAAGAATTACAAATCCAGACCTTTGTTATGACACAAACATCTACGTTGCTTCCACTTCCCAAGTCATTGAATATTCCAGAGCATATTGCTTCAGCAACTAATTTTACTCCTTCATCCCTCTGCAAAATACCTCGTATAGTCAACAAAAAAAATTAATTTTAACATTATTAAGTGATTAATACTGTGAAATAAACTTACAGTCATCCCTTCGCGGTATTGCGATTCAAATATAGCCATTGCAGCAAGGGATCCAGAACCCATGGTGGCAAATGGTAGTGTGTCAGTTGAACCATGTGGATATATCTAAGAAAGAGTCATTTAACATATTAATTATTACACCTCAACAAATTTAAAATAAAACATAATCCTTGGGCCAAAAGAAACTCACAGTATGCAAGTGGGGACCCGTCACATCAACTCCACCAAGCACCAAAGCAGCTGATACATGGCCTTGATAGCTGATTCAGAAATAAAATTAAGGTATTTTAGATTATAGTCTTCTCATACAAAATAAAATTATTGCTATCAGGATAAAAGGTCACCTGAAAAGATGAGATTTTAGAAGGGACAGAGCAGTCACAACCCTCGACTCACGACCAGTATGGAAGCGATGCAGCTTCAGTTGAGAGCTAACCATGTCTAGTGAAAGAATAACAACATAAAACAAGTAAAAAAAAGTTAGATGCATGCATAAAATATTATGGAAAAGCAGATCTATTCATAACCAATATAATAAGGCCTTGTTTGGTTCCTAATATAAGATTAGCCAAGATTAGATTAAATGATCTAATGAAAACCCAATTATATTATTGAACCATGGGAGGTCCGATAAATAATCTCTCAAAAAGTCAAGATAGGCCATGATAAAATCATATTTCCAGGTCGAACCGGAAAAATTATTTGGTTTACCAAACATCAACCAAAGTCCAATTCTTTAATTAATCATGGCCAATATCCACAACCAAACGAAGCCTGAGAGGAATGGCTACAATCTAGTATAAACAGATCAGATGTAGAATTAAGTTGATAGTACCTGTAACAGCTTCTGTATCTGCAGCAGTTCCAGCTCCACAACAATAAATATTTGGAGCCATGTAATGGATCTTCTCACAGTTCTTATCAGCAACAATGGGGCCTTCAGTGGCTCGTGTGTCTGCTCCGAGAATTACACCATCCTAAATATGGACATTTATTAGTCACCCGTTTCATTACTTACTCATACTCCCACAAAAATCAAGGGTAAGCTACAACACTTAGAAACTGTTAAAACAAATCCTGGAAGCGAATTACGTTCTTAATCGCTTCATATTAATTTACGTAAATTCAGATTCTAATAGGCTACAATTCAGAATACGACAATACTTAGAAAGTGTGAATCCTGAAAGAATTAGACTCCTAAATCATTGTCTTCGTTCACGTGATGGAGATTTTGTAGACTTACGTTTCAGAAGGTTAAATAAATTACTAGATCTACTACCAAGTATCTCACATAACACATACATTCACATATGTTTTTTTTCTAAGAATGCTATTATATAAATCACAAGGCAAAGGGGCTGGGTACTTAACAAATTAAGTATCGTCTCGTATCTTTGCATGTAAAGAAATAAAAATGTCTGTCTTTACTGCCTCAAATTGCACAAAATTCTTCATAAGCTTCCGGGATAAGCAATAAAACTACCAAATAAGCACAACTTAAAACTCAACTTAACAAAACTATTATGAGTCAAGTCATTTTAAAGTACAATGACCAACAGTCCCGACATTGTTAAAGATACGAAATTAGAAACTGTAACATGTTCTTTGTAAAATAGAGAAACCTATATAATTGTGTTATAATCTCCTACTAAAATTATACAGTAACCTATAATGCCCAATGGTCATGTACATAGATGTTTAAAATCGAAAAACGTCGAAACAAAACTTTTTGCGCTATATTAACAGCAAGTCACCTTTTTACAAATGCAATGTAACAGAAATCCCAGGAGTTCAATAATATGATAAAATACAGAGGACTATTGCATAAATCAAGTGGCAACACTATATAGTCATGTCAGAAAATCAAGTGAACTAAGTAAGAAAACTAATTATTTTAAGACACGTGTTATCCATTCAGGAATTCAGAGGCACGAGCTTATTTACGCTGCTGTACCTCAAGCAAGGAATACAGTACGACACTTAGTAGCTGCCGACCTTTATATCTTAACTACCCAATACAATAATCCACAGAGGCCCGAATAAAACGTGCATATTCTTGACACGCAAAAAAATATAAACAAAAAAACTCAACCATTCATAATACAAGCACTTCAATACAGATATAATATTCCGCAAACTATACCTTCTGAACACACCCTACACTATGTCTCGTTGTCATTACAGATCAACTAGTGGGCAAAGTGGCCACTGATGCCAAATATGCTAGATTGTCTCTTAGAAGGACGAATAGCAATACATACATAAACCCTAGTTCAAGCAAAGAAACTAAAGAGATTAAAAAAATCATAGGCTTGCAGAAAAATCATTTTAGCAGCAAACCACTAATTTTCAAGCACATCAATCCTGAACGAAACTAATTCAGAGCACAGAAGCATCACAAATTTAATAAATGTAAATCAATTACTATTATTATAATATTACGAAAAAAATAAAGAAAATACCCAATGCCCCCAAACTATTAAAACCTAATGCGCAATGAAGCAAAATCCATCAAAATCAGCAAAATCATCGAAATCAATCGCAACAAATGTACCTTAAAAACCAATCCAACGATAGTAGTCCCGGTTTTCAGAAAACCGGGTTGCTTCAAACCCTTCTGCGCAAGCATCTCGTTCCTCTTGCAAAGATCGAAAGAAAACCCACCCTTCGGCGGCATCGATTCTGCTACTTTCGTCATTTCCCCGCTAAAATTATCAAATCGAAACCGTAATTCGGAGTAAAATCGTAAACTAGTTAGAGAATCTGTGGAGATTTAGAAGAGAGAGAGAGAGAAGCAAGAGTTGTCAAAAGAGGTTCAGTGAGCTTGGGGAAGAAGAAAAGGGACTAAAGAGGCAGTCGGTCGGGTTAAGTTTGATTGGATACGGGTTTGGGCTTCAACCCGAATTCGAATCTTAAATGGAAAGCAGAAAAAAGAAAAGAAAAAAAAAAAAAAAAAAATCAAATTAGAGTTTGACTGCACATTAGTCCCTCAAAAGACTTTCTTGTGACAAATTCACCCAAATACAGTTTTGTTGTATTTTTAAGGGAAAATTGCGGCCACCCTAAGGTAAGGTATAATTACGAAAAAACTATCTTGTTTGCATAATTACAACTACCCCTTAACTATGTATTATTTTACAGGTCCACTCGTACAATGTAAATTTTACCTAGGGGTGTTCATTCGGTCGGTGAACCGATCGAATTGAACGAAACGAAAATTAGTACATTGTTGAGGGGGTGCTTATAATTATGCAAAGAGGAGCGGTATTTTAATAATTTAACCTTACATTAGGGATAGTCGTAAATTGCCTTATTTTGTTACACATATCTTAGAAGTTAGAACTTTGTTGGCAAAGTAGTATGATAATATTTTGTAAAGGCTATCAAGCTATGTGTTTATTAATAGTATTTTACATAAAGTTTAAACATTAATAGTTTGGCCAAATCTCTTTTCTAGTCCCTCAAATATACGTTTAATCTTACAAAGTCCCTCGTCTTTAAAATGCATCAATCTCATCCTTCATCTTTTGCACTCTCATTTTTCTTATTTCAAAAACTAATCCAATCAAAGCCCAAATCGAACTGCTAGAAGCCTTAGTGGGCCATCTAATCTACTTGGGCCCGAGCCTCAAAGAAACACTTTTACATATAACCTGCTCTACAGAAAGCCTGAAAATTACAGTTTCGTTTTGAAGTTTTTAAACTATAATATAATTAAGTATATAAGATAAAATTTAAACAAAAGCCCTTATAGCTCAGTGGTAGAGCGTCAGTCTTGTAAACTGAAGGTCCGCAGTTCGATCCTGCGTGAGGGCATTTATTATTTATTATTTGTTATGAATTGTTTATTTTTTACTTCTATTTGTTTTCTTATTTTTTATTATTTTTTTGGAAGAAATGTCATGTTAATTAATTTTGTCTGTAACACTCGTCGCACAGCCCTTATAGCTCAGTGGTAGAGCGTCAGTCTTGTAAACTGAAGGTCCGCAGTTCGATCCTGCGTGAGGGCATTTTCCTAAATTAATTACTTTCTATTTATTAATAATTTTTTTTTTTTTTTTTTTTGGGGGTAATTCTGATTTCGGAGCTTAAAATGAAGGTTTTTTTTTTTTCTGTTCTGCAAATCCGAAACCCTCAATTCTTGTGCAAAGATGGCTTCAACAATGCACAAGCTCCTCCAGAAACCCCTGCAGCAAGCCATATCTCCACACCTCAAACTTCACAACCCGCTCAATTTGCTCCCTTCTCTTCTCCACCGCCGCCCAAATCTCGATCCTCCACCAGAAGTACACCACAATTTCAACGCCGAAAAATCCGCCGTGGGTAATGGATTCCATGTTTTCCCCAGTTTCTCACTTGGGTTTTTCCTGGATCCCAAATTCTCATCTGGGCTGCATCAGATTGAATCGCCGCCGGCAGTAGCGGAGAAATCGGGTTCCGATGAATCCGAGGAGGGTATGTGGGCTGACAGTGTGAAGAAGAAGAGGAAGAAGAAGATGAACAAGCATAAGTTGAGGAAGCTCCGCAAACGCATTCGCGGCTACGCTTAATTTTGCAAAGGTTCCTTTTTTTTTCCCCCTTTGTTTAAACCTTTTACTTAATTTCAGTGCACTTTGATTTTTACGTGTCGAATTTGTTTATGTTGAAAAGGGGTTTGTCGGATTGTATAGTTTATCGCCTCCTATGGGTAAAAATCGAAATGCATCAATTGCTCGCGGTTGTGGTTGCTCACATTAATTTAGGGCTTCGTAATTAGAATTTGGGAACGATTTGGATTTGGGTCGGGCGAAGAGTTCGTTGCATTCTTTCAGCCTCTACTTAGATAGTAATATAACCGTTCGAAGAATTCAATCTCTTATTAACAACTTTGTGTGGTTATAACCATTCGAAGAATTCAATCTCTTGTTAACAACTTTGTGTGGTTTTGATTAACAAGACGATAAGAGAAAGAATGCACTTGCATGTGTAAGTAGTGAACGGAGACAAATTGTTGAATCGGTTGAGATCGTAAATTGTTGAATCGGTTAGGTTCAACAAGTTGTCTTGCAAATTGTCAGATAACTGATAAAAGTGATGTCTTTTTTGAGTATGTCGGCCTTAATTTTAGGTGCATGAACTTTGCGACTTATGTTCTTATCTAGTCGAGATTTTTTACATTTGCCTTCCATCAAATTCATCTACAGCTCAACCTAATTGTTGTGTTGGTACGTGTTGTTTTATTTGTTCCCTTTTTGCCTAGAAATAATACTCGAGTTCAACGCTAAATTTAATGATATATTTGCTAATCTCAGTGATATTATTTATATAGCACCAAAATACAGTCGATTTAAAGTAAGTGTACAACTTACAAGCAGTAGATTTGAATATGGTGTTGACTTACGTTAGCCTATCAACAAAGTTTTTATGAACATTTTTCTAAAATTTGAACTAATTTGTTCATTTATCTTTTATTACCCGTTTCTTGGTAATTCATCGATCGTATATTTAAATTTCGATTAGTCAAGTTCGCCATTAGGCTTTTCGTCCATGACCCAGTAATTGTCTTGTATCATATGGCCGTTTATAATGCAAAACGAAATAAAGAGGAAATAGGATAGAAAAAAATAGATGATGTTGAGTAAACGAAAATTACGTTTCTAATAAGCATTTCTTGGCATTTTTATACTTGTATTCACTCGGGCCGATCTCTCTTACTATGAATACACTAGAAAACGACCTATTGCACTTACTTAGAAGAAGTTTGTTTGAGTAAACATTCTAGATGTTGATCTGTATTAGTTTGAAGCATCTTATCTAAATAATTTCTCACAATCGTCGGATTAATGCTATCTTATCTTGACGTAAATAATACAATGAGTTGTATAAGATGACTAAATAAAGATAGATATCACAATATAAAATTTGGCTATGCTATATATTACGATCGGGAAAGTAAAATGTATATATGAACATTTCATGCTTCGGAATTCTTGTTTTATTTGCATTTGTTATTTTCTATCATCCGGAAACTCGTTTTTTTTTGTATATATACTTACATATATGTGCCGATGGGTGTTTAAAAAACGATTCAGTTTGTAAGATTAGATAAGATTGAAGATTGGACTTCATTTTTGTAAGATTGAACAAGGGAAACTTCATGTAGGAGATTCAATATTGTGTTCCGGAATTTGCTTAAGTTTTATTTATTTTCATACCCTCATATTGTTTCAATATTTTAACAGGGACCCCCGAGCTTTTTTCTTGCAAGATTTGTGAACTTGGACGAACTAATGAACAGTAATACCGAACAATGAAATGGGTCGAAAAGTGAGGTGTCTCAACCAAGACTTGCTAATCATTTAGAAATAGCATCCTACTTTATATTTGCGTTTGTTCACCCCCTAATTTGTTTTTTCGCCCCCTTCGATATGAATAATATCGAACCGTGAACAAAGAAATGCATGAGAGAAAAGTCTACTTGCGAACATTTCTGGTCAGTTGAACTCGATTTAATGCTTATGCCGATTTGATTTTTCAAATGCTAATAAATATTTTCTTGAGATTTATTTGCAATTTGCAAATACATAATCATAAGTTGCAATTATATGTATGAGTTACGAATTTAGGTGGATTCGTTAGTGAAATTTGAAGAGGCAACGATGTAGTTTAATCATACGCATCGCGTCAACATTTTCGAATTGTACATGGTGTGTAATATTCAACTCGGGAGCGACGGGATTCGGACCCCCTTTGATTTTGAAACTTAAAAGTTGCAGATGAAGTTGAAATGCCTAAATAAAAATAACACTGATAATAATGAAAACATTACATTGCTTATAAAAAACTGTACTATGTATATATTACATCATTCTTTACAGACAAACCTGCATGTTCCAATAATCACCACCCTCCTAAGAAGAATGTCCATTTTGTAGGTTGATCAACGAATAGTATGAACCTCGATTTCCGATATCAAGAAGTTGCGAATGCGACCCTTTCTCCACGACCCTCCCATTCTTGATAACCGCAATGGAATTGGCTTTCTGTATAGTCGATAACCGATGAGCCACAATCACGCAAGTTCTCCCAATCATCATCCTCTCCAATGCCTCTTGAACTAAATTCTCCGAAACACTGTCGAGTGCACTCGTTGCCTCGTCCAATAGAAGGATAGATGGATTCTTGAGAATTGCACGTGCAAGTGCGATCCGTTGTTTTTGCCCTCCGGAAAGTTGGACCCCTCTTTCTCCACAGTAAGTTTCGTATCCGTTTTTCAACGAACTGCCATTGTTAGAAAGACAACTCAAAGGACTGCAAATTTGGTGCTTAGAATTCCGCCAAATTCGAATTGGAAAAAGGTCAAAATCACATTTGAAGTCTAAACAGTAACAATAAAATTGAAACGACATTTAACTAGCTCACATTTATTCATTACCTTATGAATTCGTGCGCATTAGCAAGCAATGCAGCTCTCTTGATTTCCGATTCCGTCGCGTTCTCATTACCGTATACTATGTTCTCAACTACGGTCCCGGCGAAAAGCGTCGGCTCTTGACTCACTAAAGCAATATGAGATCTCAAATCTCTCAAGTTGTAGCTTTTGACATCTTTTCCATCTATTAGAACACTTCCTTTTATCGGATCGTAAAATCGTTCAATCAACCCTATAACCGTCGATTTTCCCGACCCGCTCTGGCCCACAAGCGCCACCGTTCTTCCACCTTCGATCTCCAGACTCAATCCTTGTAAAATCATCTGCTCCGGCCTCGACGGATACGAAAAGAAAACCCGATTCAAATCAATCCTCCCTTTCAAACCGTTCTTTATTTTAAACCCGTTACAATTATCCGGGTCGATCTCGCTTTTCCTTCCCAAAATCGCAAAAACCGATCCGACGGCGCTGCTTCCTCTAGCCAGATCCGACGACATTCCACCCGCGTCAGCAATGTTTTTTCCGGTGCTCATCAAAATAAAGAATGCTTGAAAAAGATGCTTCGAGCTAACCAAACCCTTGTTCATCAATCTCCCTCCGTACCAATAAGTCAGGGCAATGCTAGCTGTCGTTAGAAACTGCGATACAAACAACCCGGTCGCGGAAAACCACGACTGTTTCACACTCTCCTTTCTAGGGTTTTTTAGGGTTTCTCCGAATAGAGAAAGGATTTTCTTCTGCGAAGAAAATGCAGTGATTGTTCGATGATTAATTACGGCTTCGCTCGCCAGCTGGCTCCCTTCGTTTTGCGCCTTTTGTGCTTTAGCCGACATTTTCTTCATCAGAACCCCCTTCGAGTAGAAGCTTGCGATTATCAAAGGCTGTATGGCGATCACGACTACGGAAACTCTCCACGTGAGGATCAATCCGAGGGTAAAAGCGACGAAAGCGCTCGTGAACACCTGGACCAATAGGGACATCCGATCCCCAACGAGGCACCGCACAACGTTTGCCTCCGTGGAGAGACGCGCGCAGATAGCCGCGCTCGTGTTTTCTTCCCAATCGAACCACCCGATTTCGAAAGTTAGAATATTTTCGAGCACGCTCTCTCGTATCCTCTTTGTCAACCTTTCTCCCATGACGGAGAAATTGTAGTGCTGGAGTAGGTTCGCGAAGAAGCTTACTACGGCTATGGACACGAAAATCACGCAGTAAAACGCGGTTTCCGATTTTATTTTCGAAGTGTCGTTGTTGAAGTATATAGAAACAACCGATCCTAAGCAATAAGCATTCAAAGGCTGAATTCCTCCAAAGGTACAAGCTCCAACGCATCCGAGCAAACCCCTCTTCCATTCCGGTGCATTCATTCGAATCAACTGCCACTGCGAAAGGGCGGGCGATGACGTGGCGGGAGATGATTGGTCGTCATCGCTTTCGTAGTAAGAAACCATGTTGATAGAAGGGAGCACACTCATCGTTATAGACGGGCTAAATGGAGAAGCCGGGCTTTTTTGCCAACTACTTTCGTATATTACGCTCTTTTGGTTTCTCCTTCTTGTCTTTTTAGGGTTAACGGGGGTACGATGAGATGGGGCTTCGTTCGATGAATTTTGCTGCATTTTGACCATTTTAGAGTAGGCTCCGTTTTCTTGCATCATGAGTGTGTTGTGAGACCCGGACTCGATGACCTGTCCGGAGTCGACGACGGCGATGATGTCAGCATTTTGGATTGTGGTGAGGCGGTGGGCGATTACGATGGTTGTTCTTCCTTGGGAGGCGAGATCGATCGCGTCTTGAACAAGTCTTTCGGATTGTGAATCGAGAGCGCTCGTCGCTTCGTCGAGTAGGAGGATTTTCGGGTCTTTGATCAATGCTCTTGCTATTGCTATTCTTTGCTTCTGCCCTCCTGATAATTGGAACCCAAATTGCCCTACCTATATAATACACAATTGAAAAAAAAGAAAAACTTTATAATATAAATCTTGAAAATTAATATCTATAAGATGTCTCATTTGAAATGACCATTTAGCCCCCCGAAATTTATTCGAAAAGACCTTTATGCCCTTTCAAAAATAACGTGCAAATCGCGTGATTCGGCAAAAGTATCAAGTGACACGTGCAAGTTGGCGTATAGTCGGGGGTGAAGTGCTATTTACCCTAAAAAAACGAAAAAAAACCAAGCTACTCGACAGGTTGGATTCAACAAAAGTTTGTTCAAACTCGGCCCTCTACCAATAATCAAATCAAGTTCGAGCAAATTTTATAAATACGAATAAAAATCCAAACAAACTTGAACAATCATGCATTCGACTCGACTCGACTATTTAGAACAATTAATGCACGGATTAATTACCTGAGTTTCATACCCTCCTGGCAATTGAACAATGAAGTCATGTGCATTAGCAGCCTTAGCAGCATTCACAATCTCTTCCATCGAACCATCCTCTTTCCCGAACGATATATTATCCCTTATCGAAGTTGCAAACAAAATCGGTTCTTGATTCACTAACCCCATCTTCGATCTCAACCATTTCAATTTCAACCGATTTATTCTATATCCATCGAGCAATATATCTCCTTTCAAAGGGTCGTAAAATCTTTCGAGCAACGAAACGATTGTGGATTTTCCGGACCCACTCCCCCCCACGAGGCCCACCGTTTTACCGGGTTTCACTTTTAAATTGAACCCTTTAAGTACTTGTGTGTCCATTCTTGATGGATAACTGAAATAAACATCCTTGAACTCGATTTCTCCATGCACATACGATAAAACTTTTCCCTTTTTGTCCTCCGAGTCTATTTCAGGAATGCGGTCGATCGTCTCGAAAATTCGAGTGGCTGCGGATGAAGCATCCACGATGAATGAGAGATTGGGTAGAGCGCTCATACACGACCTACGATCACAAGAAACACGCGTCAAAACTTTATTTGTTATAAATATTAGCAAAAACAATAATAATCAAGAAAACAAAAAAATAAAAATAAAAATAAAAATAAAGAAAGAAAAGAGCTCACAATCCACCAAGGACAACACAAACAGCTGCTATAAAAACACGGCCCCCGCTTTCGCCCCTCTCGATAACAAGCACGCTTCCGACCCAAGATTCGAAAGCCCACGATGCGAAAACCATCCCCATGCTACCTATCATGAGCCCCTTTGCAAAGCCTTGCCGTATACCGAGCTTCGTACTTTCTCGAAGAGCGCGGCTGAATCGATCGAGCGTCTGGGATTCACCTACGTAGGAGTACACGGTTCTGATCGACGATATGGATTGTTCGACCACACTGCCCGCAACCTCGTACGCGTCTTTGCTTTTGGATCCTAGGTTCATCATTAGCTTCCCGAAACCTAGTCCCGGTGCGATAAAACACACCGCGCATGGCAGTGAAGCCAACGCTAGGCGCCAAGAGAGTAAGAAGGCGACAACTAGGCCGAATACGAATGCGGAGAGGTCGACCAGACAGTTTGGAATCTACACAAGATAAATCATATTCTTAAAAATTGGAAAAAAAGAATTAATGAAAAGTATTGCATTTAGTAAAATGAAAATTATTTGGATCATAAATGGAATATATAAGGTTTCGATTTTCGATCCGATTTTAATTTCGTAAAATTCCAATGTTTTTTTTCTAATATATATTACACCTTATAATTTCTGAATTATTATTATGTATTTTATATTTTCGGTGACTAAAAATTGGAAATTTCTGAATTTCGCCGGTTTTTGAAACACTTATTGTTATTCCAATTTTCGATTTATTTTTGGAATGAAATTGGAATTAGTTTCTCTTCCGAAAAATGACTTTTTTCAAAAGTGTTAATTCAAATCCGATTCGTCCAATTTCCACCACTTGAGAGAGAGAGAGAGAGAGAGAGAGAGAGAGAGAGAGAGAGAGAGAGAGAGAGAGAGAGAGAGAGAGAGAGAGAGAGAGAGAGAGAGAGAGAGAGAGAGAGAGAGAGAGACCTTCTCAGCAATAACATCTTGGATTAGATGAGCGTCTGCCGAGATGCTCGAGACAACTTTGAAGGTGGTGGTGGAAGAAGCGCTTTGTTCGTCGAAGAAACCGACTTCTTGTCTTAGTACAGATCTCAAGTACTCCATCCTTATACGCGACGTTTGCCTCTCCGCTGTTCTTGTCCAACACAATCCTTCTGCATAATCGAAAAACGAACAATATAATGCCAAAAAGTTAGATTAATCAATGCACGAAAACTTAATTATTCTTCTTCACCCTATATATCAAAGTTACAAGAAACTCGCGGCGCGAGCAAAAGCAGAGGTTTTACGTACCGAAAAACGCAGATACTCCAACTCCAAGTGCAACATAGAGCAACCTAAGTGCATACTGCAAAAAAAATCATGAAAAAAAATATTGCTACAATACACGAAAAATAATAAGTTTACTTATAAAAT